TTCATTATTTTGCCTACCTTGATATGGCTATTTAACCACACGATGAGTTTGTCCCAACACCTGTCCTACTAATTTACATCACTATGGTCATAGTTTAAGCTTGTTTGAAAGATTGAAGGTGATAAGCCATCTTGACACAGAGCTTCCTGCTTTTAGAAATACTTGACCCAAGGTGGGTGAATTTAAACATTGCATCTCAGGCAACCCATTCTCAAATCCAGCTGGAAGGGCTGAGCTTTTGCTCTAGGGAGAAATGGCCAGTTTCCTTGTATTCTAGCTATTGTAAGCTCTCATTCTTGCTCTGGTCCATGAGAGTGGAAACAGTGACTTAACCATTACTTTCCCCTCTTAACTCTTTATAGGGCTGATAGCCAGGACTTGAATATTAGCTTTGGTAATATGTCAATGCTTGTTCTGTCACAAAAGTCCACAGCTTACTTTCAACATTAAAGTGGTTGTTTGACATTGAGAATTTACCTGACCAACTGTAGGACTAATTTTCAACATGATAGCAAAGGTTTCTGAAGTGTTTTGGAAATAATGGGTAGAAGTAAAGATGTAGTTGGTACTGCATATTACTTCTTGTTCGGCTTCTGAGCCTAATTCCTTCCATCCTCACTTATTTAACACTGACAATGTGCCTAGGCAATGGAGATACATGATATATGAAAATCCCTGCCTTTGTGAAGCCAACATTCTAGAGGGGGAGACTGACAAAACAAATTGTAACTTCTATGAAGAGGCTGTGGGTACTATGGAAGGCAAAACATGGAAGGAGATAGGATTTGCAGGATGGGGTGGGGAAATGTGGGTTGCAATAAGTTAAGATTATACTAATACAGTAACATTTGAGCAAAGTTTTGATGGAGATGAGGGAGGGAACTGTGTTGACATCTGGAGAAAGCTTTCCAGTTAGAACAGCAAGTGCAAAGGTCCTAAGGCAGAGGGAGCATGCTTGGCAAGTTCAGAGCACAGCAAGAAAGGCAGTGTGACTGGAACAATGTGATCAATCTTACCCTGTTGGGTTGCTGTAACAAAATGTCATGAACTGAGTGGCTTTTAAACAACCGAAATTTATTTCTCACAGTTCTGAAGGGTGGGAAGTCCCAGATCTAAGCAGATTCAGTGTCTGGTAAGGGCCTGCTTTCTGGATTACAGACTGCACCTTCTTGCTGGCCCTGAAATGGTGAAAGGGTCAAGAGGTCTCTCCAAGGCCCCTTTTGTAAGGGTGCTAATGCCAGTCATAAGGGTTCCACCTTCATGACTGGATCACCTCCCAAAGGCCCTGTCTCCTAATACCATCAACCTAGGGGTTAGGATTTCAACATATGAATTTAGTAGGGAAGGGATACAAATATTTAGACCATGGCAGAGAGTAAGAGCAGATGAGAAGAGAAAGAAGGGTGGAAGGTGGGCCTTATAGGCTATATGAGGACTTTGGCTTTTTCCCTAAGACAGTTGAGGAAACATTTGGAAGCATTTTTTGCCTTTCCTTTTTAAATTTATTTCTTTTTTACTTTTATAGGTTTAGGGGCATAAGTGCAGTTGTGTTATTTAGATACATCGTGCAATGAAGTCTGGGCTTTTAATGTACCCATTACCCAAATAGTTTACATTGTACTCCATTGGTAGCATCTCATCCCTTACCTCCTTCCACACTCCTGTCTTTTGAAATCTCCAATGTTGATTATTCCACTGTGTGTCCATGTGTAACCATTTTTTAGCTCCCACCTATATGTGAGAACCTGCAGTTTTGACTTTCTGTTTCTAAGTCATTTCATTTAGGATAATGACCTCCAGGTCTATCCATGTTGCTGTAAGAAACATGATTTCACTTTTTTTATGGCTGAGTAGTATTCCATATATACCGCATTTTAAAGAAATCTATTCATCCATCAATGGACATTTATGTTGATTCTTATTATGAATAATGCTGTGATAAACATGAGTGCAAATGTCTTTTTGAAGTGATTATTTCTTTTCCTTTGGGTAAACCACTAGTGGGATTGCTGGATCAAATGGTAGTTCTACTTTTAGTTTTTTGAGAAATCTCCATACTCTTTCCCATGGAGGTTGTACTAATTAACATTCCCACCATCAGTGTATAGGCATCCCTTTTTCTCCACATCCTCACCAACGTCAGTTTTTGTTTTTTTGCTTTTCAATAATGGCCATTCTGACTGGCATAAGATGGTATTTTATTGTGCTTTAGAGAATTTTGAACAGAAAAGGGATGTGATCTGATCTGTGTTGAAAAAGAAAACTCTGGCTTCTGTCCTGAGAATGAACAGTATGGAGGCAAGTTAGAAGTTTATTACAATAATCCAGGTGAGGCATTAAGAGGCCCTGGAACAGGGTGGTGTATAGGAGAGTGATGTGGAATGGCTGAATTCTGGATATATTTTTGAAAGTGGAGACCAGAGAGTTTCCTGAGTGATTGCATATAGGTTGTGAGAGCAAGAAAGGAAGGGATGTTGACTTGGATTCCCAAAGACTGCTCTTCTTGATGTGTAGTTGAGGCTCTCTTTGTACTACTCTGTGTTTAAGTGACCTGGCAGACTAATCTCTCTATCCCTCCTCCTGTAAAACACAGACTGATGCGAAAGACACTTGACTTTCATGGCCAAGAGGCTCCTCTGTAGAACACCCCTCTATCACTACCTCCAACTCCTGTTCCCATCACATGAGTACAATTCATGTGCCAAAAATTGTTGACTGGGTGCAGTGGCAGCACTTTGGGAGGCCAAGGCGGGCAAATCATGAGGTCAGGAGTTCGAGACCAGCCTGGCCAACATGGTGAAACCCCGTCTCTACTAAAAATACAAAAAATTAGCTGGGCATAGTGGCAGGCGCCTATAATCCCAGCTACTCGGGAGGCTGAGGCAGGAGAATCGCTTGAACCTGGGAGGTGGAGGTTGCAGTGAGCCAAGATCACGCCATTGCATTCCAGCCTGGGTGACAGAGCAAGACTCCATCTCAAAAACAAACACACACCACTGTGATATTTTTAAGTTCTTCCTCTACAGAAATTAAAACTAGAAATTATACTTACCTGGTTGTGGCTTCCGCAAGACAAACAATGCAGACCCATCAGAGACACATGCTTAAAGAAAGCATTTTGGCTTTTCTGCAAAGATTGGCGGTGAATATACATTATAGATGTTCACAGAATATAATGATTCCCTCTTCCATCCAGTTTTTTCCCCTTCCAATTGAGAAATTTGAGCCCCAGGAGTTCGAGACCAGCCTGGGAAGCATGGCAAAACCCCATCTCTACTAAAATACAAAAATTAGTCAGGCATGGTGGCATGCACCTATAGTCCCAGCTACTTGCGAGGCTGAGGTGGGAGGATTGCTTGAGCCCAGGAGGTCGGAGCTGCAGTGAGCCATGATCATTCCACTGCACTCCAGCCTGGGTGACAGTGTGAGACCCTATCTCAAAAAAAAAAAAAAAAGAAAAAAAAAGGAAAAGAAATCAGTACATTAAAGAGATACCTCCTCTCCCATGTTCATTTTGACATTATTGACAATAGCCAAGATATGAAAGCAACCAAGATATGAATGGATAAAGAAAATGTGGTATAAATATGTATACACAATGGATACTATTCTGCCATAAAAAAGGAAATCCTGTCATTTGGATGATGCTGAAGGACACTGATAAGTAAAATAAGCCAGGCACAGAAAGACAAATACCACTTACATGTGCCTCACTTACACATGGAAACTGAAAAAGTCAAACTCACAGAAGCAGGGAGTAGAATGGTGGTTATCAGGGGCTGGAGTGTTTGGGAGATGTTGGTGAAAGGATAGAAAATTTCAGTTACACAGGAAGAATAAGTTCAAATGATCTATCCTATAACGTGGTGACTATAGTTAATAACAACGTATTGTTTAACCGAAAACTGCTAACAGATTTAGTGTTCTCACTACACACACATACACACACACAAATGTGAGGTAATGTTAGATTTAGCCATTCTGCAATGTATACATATTTCAGAGTATATCATATGACATAGACATAATTTGTCAAAAAATTTTAAGTGTAAGGACATTAGAAAAAAAGATTGTTATTTTCATGCATTTGTAAATAGAGGCTCTGCAGAAACATCCTTTGGCCCCCAGGGGGCGCAGGGCAGAATGAAGTCAGAGCTGAGGATTTGATCCCTGCAGTTGGCACGCTCTGGTTACCAGGGCTGCCACAGAGAATACAGAAAAAGTAGTTTATGTCCACTTCAGAGAACATTCACTGTGGGATGCTGGTAGACAAGGGTTGTGTGTATCTAAAGTCCACCTCTGGTTTTTGGTAAAGTGTAGTAAATATGCAAAAACTGCAGAAACCTCTACCCATCGTACCCTTCTGCTTGTGTGTCTATATGTCTCTCTTTCTGTTTATCTTTCACTGTGTGTGTGTGTCCCTGTCTCTCCCTCCCTGTCTCTGCAAAGGGGGAGCCCACAGTGTTCCAGGCTTTACTTCCTATAAGAAACACAAGAATACTGTTGAAAGTATATAAACTTGGCTAACTTATGCAAATTCACAGTTCTAAATGTTCTGCCAACAGGCTAAAATTGCAGATTTTTCCCTTCTAGTGGAAACAAAACTCAAGCAAACCCCTCCTGTATTCTCCTTTATATTTCAGAGAAATTTCTATTGCTTAGCTGTTTAGCATAGTTTTACTAATTGAACAGGATTTTTTCCCTCAGTTTTGTTTGTTTTTTTTTTTTTTGAGACAGTCTTGCTTTGTCAGCAGGCTGGAGTACCGTGGCACAATCCTGGCTCACTGCAACCTCTGCCTCCCGGGTTCAAGTTATTCTCTTGCCTCAACCTCCCGAGTAGCTGGGACTACAGGCGCATGCCACCAAGCCCAGCTAATTTTTGTATTTTTAGTAGAGATGGGGTTTCACCGTGTTGGCCAGGATGGTCTTGATTTCTTGACCTCGTGATCCACCCGCCTTGGCCTCCCCAAGTCCTGGGATTACAAGTGTGAGCCACTGCACCTGGCAAATATTTTACTGAAGTGTTTCAAGCACTAACAGCACAATATTCACTGTAAGAATTTCATACACCAATATAATTACTGCATGAATGTCATTTATTGAAATTAACATTATTATGAATACATAATGAAAAAATGCTCCTCAAAAGAGGAAAGTGAATGTTAACCAGCAACAGGACAAAGCCATCCTCAGAAGACAGAGATAATCGGAAACAGTTTCACAGTTCAGTTTATGTATGTACACCGGGGTTAGAGTTCCTCTACGTCTGCGTCTCTGCAGATGCCAGGTTTTGGACCAGGAGGCTCAGGAATGTCTCCAGCCGCTTCCTGGATCTGTATGCAATGAGTCCTCCCTTGTTGGCCCACCGATCCACCCCAGCAGCACCCTCATTTTCCACGTGGTACACCAACTGTGGCAAATCAAGCCCTGTTTCTGGATTTCTTTCTAAGCATTCTTTCAAGTCTACTATTCCCCCACCCATGGCCCGCAGTATGGCATGAGCAGCACAAGAGTCCCACTTGAACGTGGTATCTTCTGAAAAGATGTAAATGTCAACGAGGCCTTGGACAACACAAAGGCTCTTATAACCAGCCCCAGCTGCCCCGAATATGCGATCTCCACATACACGTGACAATGCAGCTTTGATAGTCTCCTTTTCACTTGTACTAATGACGGCTGAAAAACTGGGGGAGAATGCTGCCTCGGAGCCTGTGTTTCCAGCGTGTATTTCACTGCCACTCCTTCTAGAGATGGTGAGCTGAAGTGAATGCATGTTCGTCCCCATGTAAGAAAGGCCCCAATAGCACTGTCCTTTCCACCTGTGGAAGAAAAATTTCAATTGGTGATAATTATCACATTTGTTTTTCATTACTAATGTCACTTGCAAACTTAATGATATGAAGAAATACACAATTCATCATAACATGGTGAATCTTAACACCTTTAAGCCTAGGAATAGATATCAGGTAGCTAGTTTATTTCCGAAAGTTACTTATATGCGTGCAGCTGCCTGAGTTGTTGCAATTAGAAATGCTTTCAATTTTATGACATTATCACATCAATCTAGGACAACACTAAAACATTTATGGGGTTTCCAGCTTCCAGAACCATTGCAAAATTTCATTACAACTTTTAGTATTTAAAGTTTAATAGGGAAAAAGGAATAGATAAGTGATATCTCTTTTCAATCTGCAAGCATTGTACAATCCTTATAACAAGGTTTTCTTTATTTGGTAACTCCTTTTCATTCTCTTATTCACTAGTTTCACTTTGGCTTCCAACACAAAGAAAGATGGACTCAATGTTATTAGTTTTGACAACCACAATAATTATAGCACCTTCCCTTTATCAATGCTTAACTTACTGTCTGTGTTGTTACATATTTACAGATAAGGAAACAGGCTTAGAGAAAGTAAGTAACTTGCTAAGGCCCACTCAGCTAGAAAGTGGTAGAATCTGCATTCAAACCCACAAAGTCTCACTCTGAATCTGTGCCACAAACTATTTTGTTGACCACTTCCATTACTAGGCCATGATTATGTCTGCATATTATTCCAATTCTTTTCAATTTCTTATTAACCTTTTAAAGATAGCAGAAACCCATTTTTAGTTTGGAAGATGGTGGGGGCAGGGGGAAAATATTAAAACTGAAGAGGTATAAACTTATGACTATTAAAGAGCAAATGATTGTTACTTGAAGCAACTCAAGGTTCAATAAAAACATGTAATCCTATATAAGTGAAAAAATACGACCTATTTCAATAAAAAGCTGAAGCTGCTTGTTCCACCTAGACTTTGCCATGCCCTGCTGGGTCCTGGCTGCTTTCTACACTCTGTTTAAGAGTACATGGAAGGGTGGGAGGAGGCAGAAAGGGAGTGTGAGTTAGGTTCTGATCCTGGCCATGCCTACCAATCTTTTCACAGGATAATTTTCACATTTTGTTTTGAACTTCTAAAATTATACCAAAGTTCAACTGGCTATACAGAGATGGCAGCTGTCTTATTCCCAATGTATTGGAAGGCAGTGTTACCACCACTTTACTAATCTGATTTTGAGTGGATTCTAGGGAACAGGATTACTATATTCCAAATGTAAAACTATGATTTCTCCAAGATAGTATTAATTTTAAAATTTCTACCAGCATGTACTTGGCCTCAAATAAAATTATGCAAATCTAAGATTGAAAATAGAACTTTAATTCAAATATGCAGACTTTCAATGTGAACACTCCTATGTGTTAAGTCATGGGAATGTCATATAGTGATAATCCTAACAATAAGCAAAGCTGAGGTCACAAGTTCTAACAACTATAATATACCAAAAATATTTGCCTGTTACCTGAGGGTGTTTGGGTCTCGTGACACAAAAGGTTGATTGATGACTCCCATCAGGGGAACCCCTGTCTGTATGTCATAGACACCAATTAAAATGGTGACACACTGAAGTCCACAGGGGAAGATTCCCTGGTTGGATTTAATGTCAGCAGAACCTTTTATATACTGATAAGTTGAATCTGAAAAAGGAAGCAAATGTGTTTGGATTCAGGTAAAGATTATTTAGAAGACTCTGTTCCATATCATTTCTCTCTTCTACTGATTTGGTAAGCAATAATTTTTTACCTTTGGATGTCACTGTATTGAATTGTTATTTGGCCTCTTGTACTTCTAAATTGCTTGTGTTTCATTTTTCCTGACTATGTGAGAACTCTTGAAGGGAGAGGATGTGTCTATAGTTCCTGTGGCATAGCGACTTGCATATAACAGGCATTCAAATATTTGTTACTTATCAAAAGCATTTAAAAAGTAATAACCAGAATAATTGGTGGGATTATTTTAGAAATACTACTAATCAGAGGACTAGTACAATGTGAGATGGAAAAGCCTCCTTCAATGGGTGAAAAAAAAAAAGACCTACTATTTGATAGCATAATAGAGTAACTATAATCAATATAAAATAAAGAGTGTAACTAGATTGTTTATTACTCAAAGGATAAATGCTCAAAGGGATGGATACCCTATTCTCTGCGATGTGCTTATCTCACACTGCGCTCCTGTGTCAAAACATCTCATGTACCCCAGAAATACATACACTATTATGTACCCACAAAAATGTTAAAAAGAAAAAGAAAAAAAGAAAAGCCCCCTTCCCGTAATCGGTCATAGGTAAAATTATCTTTTACTATTATTATTTGGTCCCTCAAGTTAGAAGGAAGAAAGAGACAATGATGGTGGCACCAAAAAAAGAAAGTAATGGTGCTCCTATGAAACAGAGGCAGAGAAACTAGGTTTCCTCTTAAGAGATGTGCATGCCAGCAGCTGACTGCCGATGTCTAGGGAGTTAGCACACGGCTAAGGATGTGCCTGGCAAAAGATTTTCAAAGAGCTTGAAAACAGAATCAATTCAGGGCAGAACCAACAAACAGGAGATCTCTGTCCCTCAGAAACTATAACTGATGCCAATTTACCCTTAAATGATCAAAGATTTGGGGAAAGGTTTTTAGTTTCCATATATCATCCACTGGCTGAATGTGATATAATTATCTGAAGATTAAACCTATTTCAATATCATCCTGTGAATACACTTGTAGGATGGGAAGGGCCCAGGGAGGAGTTTGCCTGCTCCTTGAATGGTCCTATTGTGTTGGGTGGGGAAGAAAAAAAAGGAAGGGGGAGCTTATTAAAATTATTACCTAGAACTTAAATAGCATCATTGAAAATAAAGGCTGGCTGGGCGTGGTGGGTCATGCCTGTAATCCTAGCACTTTAGGAGGCCAAGGCGGGCAGATCGCTTGAACCCAGGAGTTTGAGACCAGCCTGGGCAACATGGTAAAAACCCCTTCTCTAAAAACAATATAAAAAATTAGCCTAGTGAGGTGGCATGCACCTGTGCTGCCTACTTGGGTCCCAGCTGGAGGATCGCTTGAGCTCAGGAGGACAAGGCTGCAATGAGTTCTGACTGTGCCACTGCACTCCAGCCTGTGTGCAACATGAGACTCTGTCTCAAAAAAAAAAAAAAAAAAAAAAAAAGGGTAGAAGGGTTACACTTTGGAAACAATGGATTATATATTATGGTTCTATCACAATCATGACCAAAAAAACGTAGAGCTTATACAGGGCTCACAAACTGCTCATGCGTCACATTAAGCTTTTTGCTTGACCTGTACAGTGCTTTTTTGATTGTTTGCTTGTTTAACTGAATTAGTAGCTAATGGTTAGGAATTGGGATATATCGCTGAAAACCTTGGATCTTGGTTTCTCTTTAAAAATCTGAAGAGCTGGCCTGGACTCCCATATGGCAACAATCTGCTAAAGCTAAGTGCTCTTTAAATGGCATGTGTGCTCAATTGGTCATAACTGCTCTCACTTCATCCTCTCATTTACTTACCAGTCTTTTGAAGATAAGTTAGTTCATCTTGGCATGTGTGCCTGTATGTGTGTACCTGTTATAGATATGTGTATATAGACACACAGCTATAATATATATGTATTTATACAGAACACATGACACATACACCTCAACTCTCATTGTTTTAAAACTTCAAATTTTTAAAAACTTCTAGGAGAGTTAAACTACACTCAATAATTTTTATTTTTCCAACCTCCCCCCCCCCACTGCCACCACCAAAAAAGATTGTAAATAACAAACATACTCTCCTATACTTACCTATGGGGTCTACCCAAATTCCCAAAATGTCCTGTGGAACATTGATCTCCGTGGAATCCAGAGTTGGGTCAGTAAAGGCAACATCCTGATGAACAACCCTGGCTAATGCTTCAGATGCCACCTTGTTACCATTGAGGACTTTGCTTAGAAGCTCTGCTGTTTCTTCCTCTGTTGAACACAACCTCAAGGTAATCTTTTCCCCTAGGGTAAAGCCACACGATAAACCATTACATTTCAAGAGTTTCAGTGGAGAAAGAACAGAGAGAGACAGAGCAAAAGAGTGAGAGAGACAGAGAGAGCGAAAGAGTGAAAGAGAGAGACACACACAGAGAGTGAGAGAGAGCGAGAGAGTGAGAGAGACAGAGAGCGAGAGAGACAGAGTGAGAGAGACAGTGAAAGAGCAAGAGATAGCGACAGCAAGAGAGACAGAGTGAGACAGAAAGCAAGAGAGACAGAGAGCAAGAGAGACAGAGAGAGTGAGACAAAGCAAGAGACAGAGAGCAAGAGAGACAGCAAGAGAGACAGAGCGAGAGAGACAGAGAGAGCGAAAGAGACAGCGAGCAAGAGAGAGACAGAACAAGAGAGAGCAAGAGAGTGAAAGAGACACAGAGTGAGAGACAGAGAGACAGCAAGAGAGACAGAGAACAACAGAGACAGAGAGCGAGCAAGAGAGAGCGAGAGACAGCAAGAGAGTGAAAGAGACAGAGTGAGACACACAGAGAGAGAAAAAGAGACAGAGAGATAGTGAGAGACACACACAGAGAGAAAAAGAGACAGAGCGAGAGAGATAGCGAAAGAGTGAGAGAGAGCGAGACAGAGAGCAAGACAGGGAGAGTGAGAAAGCAAGCAAAAGAGACAGAGAGTGAGCCAGCGAGAGAGTGAATCAAAAGCTGAATTAAAAGTGAGGGCGATATATCCATCCCAGCAGTTCCTAAGCCTGGCTGACTGCCAGAATCACCTGGCGGGGCTTCATCAAGGCAGATGCCCAGTGGCTGGCTACCCACACACTTAACCTGAATAGTAAGGGATGGGTTTCAGGAAATCAAAAGACCTCCCTAAAAAATGCCCATGTGGGCACAATTTTGTATCCCAGTTAAGGGACACATTGTCAGTTAATAATTCCTGAATTCCTGATCATTAATCTTTTTAAAATTTGTCTTTTGATTTTTTTATATACTTAAGTCACCCTATGTCTGAATATGTTATTGAAAAGAATGGAGGTTTTTCAGCACACCAAAGTGCTTCTACCTCTTTATAGATACTGCTTTTAACTTAAAATTGTTTAAGCTAAGTAACATAAAATGGTATATGCTAATCTTTAAATGTAGTAAAACTTTATGCCTCTAAATGGTATACATATAAATAGCTCTCCTCTGTGGGGCCCATTGAGAACCAGAACATAAGCAAAGCTGCTGCTTCAAATGATAAGTTACCGAGGCCAGGTGCTTTACCATCACTTTAAACATGCTTCTTAGACCCTTGATTAATCTGGTTTCAGCCCTTGACAGAAGTGAGGGAAGAGGCTGGTAAAAAATAGGCAAGTTAATAGCAACAAGAGGTGACAGCAGTGGAGGAAAAAAAAATCTTAAAAACTAAGAAAACATGGCACTTCGGAACGTTTTAGATACTCCTGCTATCTAGTAGCTATCTAGGTAGCTACTTCTACCCTTCTTATTCCAAGGGCCAGCAGTGTTTCTATCAGCTGCGAGCTTATTAGAAAGTCAGAACTTGAGGCCAGGCCTGGTGGTTCATGCCTATAATCCCAGCGCTTTAGGAGGCCGAGGTAAGCATATCACTTGAGGTCAGGAATTCCAGACCACCCTGGTCAACATAGTGAAACCCCTGTCCCTAATAAAAGTTTAAAAAAATTAGCTAGGCATGGTGGCACACGTCTGTAATCCCAGCTACTTGGGAGGCTGAGGCAGGAGAATCGCTTGAATTTGGGAGGCGGAGGCTGCAGTGAGCCAAGATTGTGCCACTGCGCTCCAGCCTGGGTAACAGAGGGAGACTCCAACAACAACAACAAAAAAAATCAGAACCTCAGACGCCACCCCAGACCTACTGATTTGTTTTTGTTTGTTTGTTTTTTGTTTTTGTTTTTGTTTTTGAGACGGAGTCTCACTCTGTAGCCC